GAAAATAACTGTCCTCTTGTGCATGCTAAGAAATTAACTGTATGCCCATTGGATTCTTAAAATATTCTTTAATGAATAATTCAGCTATCTTCCACTTCAAGACTTGTTCTCTAGTCTTAACTGGATATGATCTCTTTTTCTTTTCAGAATTTGCAACTTTAGTTTGTATATCTTGCCACATTTGCTAGGGTTGACCTTACCTTATAGGACTTACTTGAGTGCTGGCTCTAGACTTCAGCAGATAACTCTTAGGGTCTAATCTGTCTTTTCTCATTCATTTTTGTATCACTTTTATCTTTTCCCAGGTTCTTGAATACAGTATGCGTTAATATTGTAGGCTGACTTTCTTTAATATCTGGATATTTCTTGTTGTTATACTTGATTTTGTTCATATTTACTCAGTATGAGTGTCTGAATGAATCTAAAATTTATATTGGAAATTTAGGACCAGGAAATCAAGAGAAAGGTAGACTTTACTGCCCTGTTAATTTCATTTACTCCAAAAATGTTTTCTCTAAAATGCATGTTAATGTTGCCTTTAATTCATAATCACTGTATTCCTTTCAGATTCAAGGGTAGACATCTCCTTCACACACAAATAGAAAGGCTATGTTTATTCTGAACATATTCTTTATAATTTTATAGAGCATTCACCCTCTCAGTCTGCTATTTTCAGAATGAAACCCTACTTTTAAATTAGTCCTCATATGGCAGCTATTTGAAATTTTTATTTGTTCTTCCTGTGAAATATACCTAGTATTTCCTTTGTAGGTTTCTCTCATTATTTTCTGGGACCAAAAACATACCTCCAAAATACACATACAGCCAAATTATTTCTGATATACTCTTACCTGTATTTTTTTGGTATCATTAATATACAATTACATGAGCAATTGTTACTAGATTCCCCCCATTATCAAGTCCCCACCACAAACCCCACTGCAGTCACTGTCCATCAGCGTAGTAAGATGCTATAGAATCACTACTTGTTTTCTCTGTGCTATAGTGCCTTCCCCGTGCCCCCCCACTACATTATGTATGCTAATCATAATGCCCTTTATTCCCTTTCTCCCTCCCTTCCCACCAACCACCACCATCCCTGTATTTTTAAAAGACCAGAGCCCTGTTAGCCTTTGGTTGAAGAAACCCATTAAAATATTGTTTTAATTTTAATTAACTAAAATGTAAAATTTAGTACCTCAATCACACTAGCAACATTTTAAGTCCTTATGAGTCACAGAGGTTATTGACTAACATTTTTGGATAGACCAGATATAAATGGTTTCCATCATTACAGACAGTTCTGTGGGGCAGCAGTTGTTTACAGCTTATTTTCTATGAAGCAGCAGTTTTGACAGACACTTAACACTAGCTCTTTTTAAACTTCTAACTAAAAAACAAAACATTTTTAGGCTTTAGTAGCATTTTCATTGAAGAATTCATTTTTCCTTTGTCATTTGTTTTGTACTTATATGCCTCCTTAATTGTTCTCCATTTTTTGTTCTTAGAAAGTAGACATTTTCCGATGCCTGAAATCTCCTGATTTTCCTCTTTATCACTGCTTTTCTATAATTTGATTATGACGTATGGATGTGGGTATTTTCTTTATTCTACTTGGGGTTCAATGAGATTCTTGGATCTGGGAGATCATATAATTTTCATCAAATTTGGAAGATTTTTGGCTGTTATTTTTTTTTTGATATTTTTGCCCCCTGCAACACTGTATATGGATGTTAAACAGCTTGATATGTCATATAACTCCATGAGGCTTTGTTTATTTTTTCAGTGTTTTATCTCTATGATACATCTTGGATATTTAGTATTTCTACAGCTTCAAATTCACAAATCTGTTCTTCTGTAGAGTCTTATCTATAGTATCTATCCATGAGGAATATTGTTTTATCTTAAGTGTTGTAGTTTTCATTTTAGATGTTCCATTTGATTCTCTTTTATATCTTTAATTTTTCTCCTAGTTAGGGATAATATTTTCTGATTCTTGGGATTGCTAGGACTTTCTGATTGGAGGCTAAAGATTTTGTATGTTATGTTGTTGAGTGTCTGAGTTCTCTTTTTTTTGAAGAATTATTGTGCTTTGTTCTGATAGACATTTAGGTTGCTTTTGGTTTAGTTTGATCATCTTGGGACTTTATGTTTTGTTAGGGTGTCCCCAGAGTGCCTGTTACTGTAGGGATCATTTACCCCCGTTACTAAGGCCTGGCTCTTCTCATGTCTACACTCAGTGTTCCAGGGAGCCAGCTTGGACACTCCCCTGTTACTGGGAGAAACTTGAATGATTCTCAGGCTTTTGTGGGTCTGGGAACTGTTCAGCTCACAGCTTTCCAATAACTTTTTAACCATCCTTATGGAAGTTCATCTTTGCATGGATATCCTAGGAGTCAACAGAGATTCAAGGAACCCCTAAGACAATTTTTGGAGTTGCTTTTCTGGAAAGCTATCTTCTCCCAAGAAATGTGCCTTATAAATTTCTACCTCTTTGGACACCCTGAACGGAGTTCCAGTGCCTCAACTCAGTTGTTTCATCTATATTAGCCTGGTTTTTCCAGTTGTTTGCATCAGGAGGGTTCATTTAACCACTGTTATTCCATCATGGCTGAAGTGGAATCCTTCTTCAACCAACTGAAGATTCTCATAATAGAGAACCACAAGCTAAACATTACACTATGACTTAAGGCTTGATTTTGCAGAGAATGTTGAAATATAGCACTATAACAAAGGTCTTTCATTATTACAAATGCAGAAACTGGCAAGTCAGTCTTTGTGAGAGAGAGATACACATTGATATTAAGGTGATTAAGAGTCAAGAAGTACAATTACACAATTGGCAGTTTTGAGCTACAGTTATGAGAATCATCTACATAGAGTGAAAGAACACAGTCAGAGAGAACATGTTGACAAGTAAAGTGAGAATTCAGAGGACAGCTGTGCCCTCATATTAAATTTGACTCAGGGTCACTGTCTGAGATACACCACTGGTCTCTATTAGCCATGGGTCTGACCCAATCTAAAAATTCTTGTTTTGCATTTTAACCCACTTATTCCTATCCAGGAAATAAAACATCAACCATAAGAATTGTTTATTCTTGAAAATAACTCTATGATATTTCTAAAGATACTTATAGAAGTAAAAATAAAACAATATTATTTGTATGGATTGCATTACTAATGTTGACCTGGCCTGGAGTGGTAAAAAGGATAACCATCATTCCATACAGAGCCAAAAAATGGATATTTAGTTTATTTTCCCCCTCAGTGTGATCAAAATACACTGGATCATATGAAGAAGCTGATTGTTAATTTAAATATATATATATTATACCCCTTGATTTTCTTGTTTCAGTTGATTCCTAGAGCATTTGTCTTGATGTATGCAATATCTCAAAATGCAAAATAAAAAAAAGTTGTCTGCTTTCTTTTCTTTCAACCCTAACCTTGAATAATTCATAAAGAAACCACTTAAATGTAGCTAAATTGAAACAAAACCATCAGCAATATAACCCTTGTTTTTAATGATGCCATACTCTTATTTTTATGGGAATAAGTAAGTGTTTATGAAGTCAACCTTCACTATAAGGAAATGTATATAATGTTGAGTATCCAACATTTAGTAAAATTTTAATAATCCAAGATGTAATAATTAACAGCCTAATTTGAAACATTTTTATGTTATTTGGTTGCTCTTGACTTCAGAAGTAGCTGGTTTAAATGCATAGTGAGTCAATTTTCAGGAGTATTCAATCTACATGCCGTTTAGACATCACTTTAATGCTCAATTTAGAAATGGCACTTAAAGTTATTTTTAAAAAATAAGATGAATTTATTTTTATTGCTATAAGATTTTAACAGAGATTTTTCATATAAAAATATAGAGAGATTTGTCACAGATAAAATGTATCAATTAGCTTATGTTCAACAATGATCATCAGTGTCAGAGATTGATTCTTTTTGAAATTTTAGTTTAATCATACTGGTTTCTTTACATTCTTTGGCAAGTTAGAAGATGATACATGGCAAAAAAAAAAGATGCTTAATAAAAATTGGTGAAAGAGTGAATGAATGAACAAATGAATTTTTAAAGCCTTAAAAAAAACAAATCTGTAAGTGCTGAAGCACTTAGAAATAAATAAAAGTTTCATTGAGTTTAATTGAGCACAATTAAACACTCTGCCAAGCTTAGAAAATAGTTTTTATAAATACTAGCAGTCCTTAGGCAACACAGGAGCCCTTAGTTAAGTGAATGACAAACGAGGTTGAGAACAGAAATTTCAAAACAGATATTCAGAGTACTGGTTTCTGGATCTTGATGAAAACACATGCTGCTTTTTTTTTTTTGAAACTGACATTTAATAGTTCAGTTAAAGAGAATGTACAGAATTAATTCTGGTTTAAGCCCTTATTTTCAAAATCATGTTTTTCTTATGTTAGTTTTCTAATTAAAGTTTTTAACACCTTTTTTCTCTTCCACAGCATTTAATGGAATGAATTGTTGGTTTCTGGTAGAGAAGCATTGATAATGAAATAGCCAATATCTACCTATTATAAAAAATGTAGAGGTAAAAATGCATGTTCTCAACAATAAATGGAAGTTACATTATTATATTCCATCATCAGACCTTAACCATATTGGATTTTCTTTTTCATTAATAGAATAAGGTGTCTTATTTCTCAGGAGTTCCTCTGAATAAATCATAGATTCAAAAATAAAAACAATCACAGACGGTTTAGTCAGTATGTGGGGCTACATTTTGGATAAATAAATCAGGCATTTATTTATAACCATATAATAAGTGGTTTTAAGTATTTTCCTACTGCATTGTGCAATGCAATGTTCAACTTTTGTATTACTAAATTTTCTTCTCAAGAAAATCTGTAATACTTAGGGATTTGAGGTTACCTGGTACACTATTGAAAAACTGTTAAAAGCCAATGGTATCCATTCAATCTAATTATTTTCCTCTTGATTGTTTGTTTGTTTGTTTAAGGATTAAAACAGGGTGAGCCCACCATGACTGGCAAAACACAGACCAGCAATGTCACCAATAAGAATGACCCCAAGTCAATCAACTCCCGTGTTTTCATCGGCAATCTAAATACAGCCATTGTCAAGAAAGTTGACATTGAAGCTATTTTCTCAAAGTATGGAAAAATAGTTGGATGTTCAGTTCACAAAGGTTATGCATTTGTACAGTACATGAGTGAGCGCCATGCAAGAGCTGCAGTTGCTGGAGAAAATGCCAGGATCATCGCAGGCCAACCACTTGGTAAGTCATGAAGAGTTATGGATTTCACACTAGTGTTCTACTCTCCGCACATATCTGCATGTGGTATCATTGTTTAAAAGCCAGCACCGTAATATCTATCTCTTATTTAACCAATTATAGTGCTTATATATTGCAATTTATATTATTTTCTTGTTCTCATATTGTTCTACATGTGTCTTATTTTCTCTATAAATTTATAAAAAAAATCAAGTCTGTTTTGTAGTACTTGCTACCCTCAGCAATCCTAATAGGCACAGGCAAATAAAAAATATGCATCATATTTAACTATATTTGACTTGGAATGGTGTCTACCTTCTAGGAACATTATGGTAAGAAAAAAGTAATAACAAAATTACTCTGTTTTTTATACTTACAGCATTTGCTCTGAGGGTGCTAATGCATTTTTCTCATTTCCTGTTTTTATTTGGGGAGAAGGGATAGAAAATAGCAGAAGGAAGTAAACCTTGATACCTGGAAAAGGAATATAACTCACTTTTTCTTGTCTAGTCAAGAATCTGTTCGATCATGTACGATAATCAGATTATGCCTAATGTCAGAGGAATAATATAGTTTTTTCAAAGAAAAGAGAGGAATATAGTTTGAGGTAAAATGAAGATGTTGCTGGGCAGCCCCACCTGGGGAGGTATCTCAAAATCTCTACCCAGATGGAGAAGAAAAGGTTCTTGACTCTGATCTGGAAAGAATTCACAGTCAAGACAAACAACTGCCAACAAGAAAGCAAATTATTAAAGCAAAAGTAGTAAAGTGAAGAAGACACTTTCCACGTGTGGTGGATGCCCGTGGGGTCTTGTTTTTGTCACAAAAAGGAATTTAGAGACAAAGAACAGTGGTCTTAAGCAGTAAAACGTTTAGAAACAGTACACACTCAGGAGGGAGGGGAACCTCAGGGAGGAGGTGTGCTTAAGGGTTTATGGCTTGGAGTTTTATAGGTCGTTTTGAGTAGGGGTGGGTAAAAGACATGATGTACACAAGTGATTAGTAAGTCATTTGAAGTTTTGTCTTACAAGTAGGGTCATTTAGATTGACTGTTGATTCGGATCTGAGCATTTTTTTCCCAGGTAGTTTAGTTTACAGCGGGAGGTCTGTCTCTCTGTCCTGGTTACAATGTTACTTAATTGATGAAGGCGACTGGAAGAAGAGGAAACATAGATCAAGTTATAGAATAAACTGGCTAAGTAGAAATGTTTTTTGCAGGCTAAGTAGATTTTACAATGGTATGACCTTTGCCCCACTTTCCTGCTCTATATCAAAAATAATTAAGAGAAAATATTTTGTAGTAAATATGTAGATTTTAAAAAAAGAATTAAACAACCTATCTTTTTACATGAGGAAAATGTTTAATTAATACATCAGTGATTCTTAATTTATATCTTCTGTCCAGATTTATATACTAAAATGATTGTATAATATCTTCTCTGGACTGTCCAACAGGTACCTCAGCTTTACCTGCCTGTTACAAAACTTGATTTTTCATACCCCCTACATCCTCCACCCCCATCACAGGCTTCTCCTCATTTATCCAGTTTTCCAAACAAAAACCTAGGTTTCAACCTTGATTCTTCTTTTCTCCCCATATCCCAAATATAGTTCATCATCATGTTTCTTGCTGTCAGTATATCCCAAACATGAACACCTTTTAAATCTGTCCCCGTAGCCATCTGGTATGTGCCTCCAGTAAGTCTCAGGAAGACTACTGCCATAAACCCCTAACTGGTCTGCCTCTTTCCACTCTTGCCAGAGTATCTTTTTAAAAATATAAATGAGATTATGCCATCACACTGTTCTTAGACCTCTAATGCCTTTCCACCTCACCCAGACTAAGATTTATGTTCTACACCACACCTACAATGCCCCACACTACCGTCTCTTCGACTCCATCTCATCCTTCTCTCTGCCTCTTGCATCACTTCAGTATTGCTGGCCGTCTCGATATGCCTCGAGCATTCCAGCACTGTCCTGCCTGAGAGACTTGGACTTGCTGTTCGCTCTGCACACAAGACAAGTCTTTGTCAGTTATTTGTTCCTGGCATTATTGTGGGCTGTGCTCAAAGTTTTCTTCCCGAGGGAGGCTTTTCCTGGCACTTGTTTGAAATAGAAGGGTCTTCGGCCCTCTTGACACTACCTAGTCCATTACTGTACTTCATACTTTTTTCATAGTCGTCATCAGTATCTGGACTTACTTATTAATTTATGATGTTACCTCTATTATGTTCACAGACATAAAGATAAAGGAGCATATAAAAGGAACAAGCTAAAGCATAAACAAATCAAGTTAGAAGAGTGTTAAAAATGTACTATCATGTTATATAACACAGTTATGAAAAATTTGGGAGAAGGGATGGAATTCAATAAAATGAAAGTAAAGTCTGAGGGAATAGTCTTGAGGGGAAAAATAAAAGATGTTTTACATATGTACTTCCTATAGGTGTGCAAATAATCATTACAAAAGAGGAATATAGTTTTTATTTACATTTTTCCAATTCATTTTTCTGTATTTTAGAGAAAGGTAATCCTTCCCAAAAGACATTAGTAAGTCTTCATTCATCCCTTTCTGTTTTCCATAATGTCTCCTTTCTAATTGTTTACTTTGATATGGAAATTTTCTGGCCAGTTTTGCTTTTCTTTCTAAGTTAAAATTCTTATAGCAGGGCTACGTCTAAGCCAATATCAGAGAAATATCCATTTATCACCTGTATCCTAATTGCTATGAATCCAGCACAGATTTTTATAAATGCATTTTATTATTATTTTTAAAAATTAATTGTCAATATATAAGTTCAATTCAAAGTCCAAGCCACGCATTAATGAATATAGCTAATCTTCTAGAGCCCTGTATCTCTTACTGGTCAGTTGATTACTATCCTTTTGAGAAAAATTCAGTGAGGAAGGAGAATTATCCACATAAAATATTTAGAGCCTTACTTAGAGATTGAGAAAAACCAAACAAAGCAATGGTGACATCAAATCTGAGAGGCACAGAATTAAATTGTGCTTCTAATAAGATACTATTTCTCATTCCCTGTCATTCATTCTCAGATCTTCTTTTGGTTGTATCCTCAGGTTAATCTCTGGAGCATGTATCTTAATCAGCCATAATATATATCAAAAATAATTAAGAGAAAATATTTTGTAGTAAATATGTAGATTTTAAAAAAAGAATTAAACAACCTATCTTTTTACATGAGGAAAATGTTTAATTAATACATCAGTGATTCTTAATTTATATCTTCTGTCCAGATTTATATACTAAAATGATTGTATAATATCTTCTCTGGACTGTCCAACAGGTACCTCAGCTTTACCTGCCTGTTACAAAACTTGATTTTTCATACCCCCTACATCCTCCACCCCCATCACAGGCTTCTCCTCATTTATCCAGTTTTCCAAACAAAAACCTAGGTTTCAACCTTGATTCTTCTTTTCTCCCCATATCCCAAATATAGTTCATCATCATGTTTCTTGCTGTCAGTATATCCCAAACATGAACACCTTTTAAATCTGTCCCCGTAGCCATCTGGTATGTGCCTCCAGTAAGTCTCAGGAAGACTACTGCCATAAACCCCTAACTGGTCTGCCTCTTTCCACTCTTGCCAGAGTATCTTTTTAAAAATATAAATGAGATTATGCCATCACACTGTTCTTAGACCTCTAATGCCTTTCCACCTCACCCAGACTAAGATTTATGTTCTACACCACACCTACAATGCCCCACACTACCGTCTCTTCGACTCCATCTCATCCTTCTCTCTGCCTCTTGCATCACTTCAGTATTGCTGGCCGTCTCGATATGCCTCGAGCATTCCAGCACTGTCCTGCCTGAGAGACTTGGACTTGCTGTTCGCTCTGCACACAAGACAAGTCTTTGTCAGTTATTTGTTCCTGGCATTATTGTGGGCTGTGCTCAAAGTTTTCTTCCCGAGGGAGGCTTTTCCTGGCACTTGTTTGAAATAGAAGGGTCTTCGGCCCTCTTGACACTACCTAGTCCATTACTGTACTTCATACTTTTTTCATAGTCGTCATCAGTATCTGGACTTACTTATTAATTTATGATGTTACCTCTATTATGTTCACAGACATAAAGATAAAGGAGCATATAAAAGGAACAAGCTAAAGCATAAACAAATCAAGTTAGAAGAGTGTTAAAAATGTACTATCATGTTATATAACACAGTTATGAAAAATTTGGGAGAAGGGATGGAATTCAATAAAATGAAAGTAAAGTCTGAGGGAATAGTCTTGAGGGGAAAAATAAAAGATGTTTTACATATGTACTTCCTATAGGTGTGCAAATAATCATTACAAAAGAGGAATATAGTTTTTATTTACATTTTTCCAATTCATTTTTCTGTATTTTAGAGAAAGGTAATCCTTCCCAAAAGACATTAGTAAGTCTTCATTCATCCCTTTCTGTTTTCCATAATGTCTCCTTTCTAATTGTTTACTTTGATATGGAAATTTTCTGGCCAGTTTTGCTTTTCTTTCTAAGTTAAAATTCTTATAGCAGGGCTACGTCTAAGCCAATATCAGAGAAATATCCATTTATCACCTGTATCCTAATTGCTATGAATCCAGCACAGATTTTTATAAATGCATTTTATTATTATTTTTAAAAATTAATTGTCAATATATAAGTTCAATTCAAAGTCCAAGCCACGCATTAATGAATATAGCTAATCTTCTAGAGCCCTGTATCTCTTACTGGTCAGTTGATTACTATCCTTTTGAGAAAAATTCAGTGAGGAAGGAGAATTATCCACATAAAATATTTAGAGCCTTACTTAGAGATTGAGAAAAACCAAAGAAAGCAATGGTGGCATCAAATCTGAGAGGCACAGAATTAAATTGTGCTTCTAATAAGATACTATTTCTCATTCCCTGTCATTCATTCTCAGATCTTCTTTTGGTTGTATCCTCAGGTTAATCTCTGGAGCATGTATCTTAATCAGCCATAATCACCTTTTCTGTTTGAATCCAAGTTA